CACTAACCTCACTCCTTTGTAACAACTAAGGCAAAATGTAATTAATTCAGAAAATCTTGTCAGGACCCCACCTTGATGTTTCAGGACCCCACTTTGGGTCCCYACCCCAACTTTGGGAAACACTGATCTAGACCACTGTTCCTCTGCCGAAGCACCTTTAAAGTATGGAGCCCCTCAGGGATCAGTTCTGGGCCCAGTTTTGTTTTCACTGTATATGCTGCCTCTTGGACATATTTTTAGAATGTTTAAGATTTCATTCCATCTTTTTTTTGCAGATGATGTACAGATTTACATGCCTTTAATGGGGAAAAATAAGGATAGTTCTTTACAGTCTCTATTAGACTGTTTAGGTGAAGTGAGATCATGGATGGACTCAAACTTTCTCCATTTGAATGACAACAAAACCAAAGTTATTTTATTTGGACAGAAAAATACCGGAAGTGACCCTGATGCAATTCTTGGATCTTTATCTCCATTTAACCAGAAATTTGTTAGAAATCTTGGTGTTGTCTTTGACAGCTGTTTGAAACTGGATAAGCAAGTGAATTCAGTTGTCAAAACAGGCCTTTTCTATTTACGTCTTTTAGCCAAGGTGAAGTCCTATTTTTGTTTCAGAGATTTTGAGAAAATTATTCATGCTTTCATCACAACACGTTTGGACTACTGTAATTCCAAAGTTTAAACAGTAAAAGTAAAAAAAGTGACTAATGGTGATAAAATACAGAGCTAATTTCATCATTGCATTTTCTGTTTCGCAGCCTTTTCCCCTGAAATTTTAAGTTTAATGATGCTCTCCTGAAGATGATTATTTTGAAATTAACCAAATCTGACCTCCTACATGTTTGTAGCATAGATTCATTCGAGTTGACACAGTCTCTAAAGAGCTGTCTGATTTCTGTTTGCTTCTACAGTGTCGTTACAGGGGCCTCACCAGAGGAACCTGCTGAAGAACCTGCTGAAGGACTACAACCGGATGGAGCGACCCGTGGGCAACGACTCTCACCCCCTCACCGTCTTCTTCACGCTCAGCTTGATACAGATTATGGACGTGGTAGGTGCAACCATCTAAATAAATTTTGATGTCGATTGAATGATTCAAGCTGAAAATAGGTTTTGAATATGTTGCAGGATGAGAAGAACCAAGTGTTAACGTCCAACATGTGGCTACAGATGGTAAGAGCTGGACTTTTCTGCAGTTCTGAGTCTTTTTTTGCTTTTTACTGTATGAAGCAGTTGATACAGAGAAAATTAAGGTCACATACTGTAACTCGTGGTAACCCAGTATTTCTAAACTTAGAGGAGAACAAATAACAGTCCCTTCTTATGAAAGTGCAAGTGCAATGCAGAGCCTGTCAAAAAAAAAGTCTCCACCTGGATATACTGTAACCAAGCAAGTTAGTGAGACTCTCCCAAAGGAGACGTGCTCCAGTGATTAATACCTTTCTGCTGGTGAAAGAAAAGTTATTTAGCCCTAAKTGATGCCATGAGGAGCTTCTCATTTCTCATTGGTCACCAGAGTCTTGTTCTTAACCCAACTGAGATGTGCTGAAGGRTTACACAACAATCTGTCAGTCAGAGTAACAAAAACCAAACAAAAACACACACGGTCTTTTGCATTGYTAGATTAGAAAAGGAATGCTTTGTGTGCCATGATCAATTCAAAAGGACAGTCTAATAGTTATCTTTTAGTTTTGCTTTGTGTCACAGTTACAAGTTTCAGCTCCTCAAACAAATATTAACCTGAGTGAAGATGATGCATTTATTAAATGAAAAATAATCTATCCAAACCAACTTAGCTCTATGTGAAAAAATAACTGCTCCCTAAACTTAAAGAAGACATATCATGTCCACCTTCTACATTGTGATGTTAGGTATACTGGAGATATGGTCAGATTGTGGAACAGGTTCATTAATATGTCAGATCATAGATTAACAAAACARATTTTTTAATGGGGTTTGTCAAATAGGAATACCTGAGCCAGACAAATTGAGAAGGTATTTCAGGAGGCAGATTTTAATTATGTTTATAGAAATAATTTAAGATGTATTTTGAACAGATTAAAGAGCCACTCCTGGGAAAAGTTCATCACTGTTTGTCCATTTATGGATAATGACTCAATTTAGAAACTTCTTGACTCTACAGGTTTTATAATCAGGCCTGAGCGTGGCTGGAAAAACTGAATTTAGCTTTTTAAAACAAACAAACAAAATAATCAGTTAACTCATACATAACTCATCAAGAGGGTGCAACTAACTTTTCACACAAGCTACACAGTAAATATGACAGTGTGAAATAAACACTCTTACAGGTTTTAGTGTTGTGTTAATTTAACACTGCCATACCTGAATAGTACATCATTATTTGAAAATGGCACTTTTTTACTCATAGTTTCTTTAACTTGTATAAACATTTATTTGTTGATCGTTATGCAGAAATAAAAAAAACAGGACAGAAGCTGCTACAACTTTTCCACAGRAATGTATCTTAAATTATTAACCCAGTTCTGTTGATGTGAGATTGAAGTGGATGTTTCTGGGCTGTAATCTGCAGATCTCAGTGTGCGTGTGTGTGTTTTTAATGTGTGTGTTTAAAGAGCTGGTTTGACCACTACCTCCAGTGGAACCAGAGCGAACACCCTGGAGTGAAAAACCTCCGCTTCACCACGGATCAGATCTGGACGCCGGACATCCTGCTCTACAACAGGTAAAACCCCTGAACGCAAACCTGGCGCACGTCTGCAATCGTCTGATGTCACTTCCTGCCCCTCCCTGTCCCTCCTCAGTGCAGATGACGACTTTGACTCCACCTTTAAGACTAACGTTCTGGTGAACTCCAGCGGCTTCGCCAAGTACCTGCCTCCAGGTGGGTTCCTGTATGTTTCTTTCATTGACTTCCTTCACGTCTCAGAGGTGCATCTCATCCTGCAGTCTCATGCTGTCTCGTTTGAACACTTGACATTAATATTTCATCAATAAAACAGCCTTTCTGGTTAGAAACTGGTTCCCGTGCTCCAACATCTATAAATAGGAGGCGCTCGCCTCCTCCGCTTCCTGCCTCAACCTAAACACAAGACTCCTGCAAGGCGGCGAAGGTAACGACTCCTCTGGGCTTTTACGGGTCTTTGCTTTGTATTTTCTCAGGCTCTTCCAGATTAAAGTAGCTCCAGCGTGAATCCCTTGTGCATCTGAGGGGTTAGAGCTGAAATTACCCACTACAGTAAAAGACACGGGCTGTGGGCTCAAAGAGCCACAKTAACAATTCTGTGGAAAGGCCAGATTTATTGATAGGTTGCTGCTGAATGTATTTACAGCTGCTTTATGTTCAGGAGGTAGTTAGGGGGCAGGATCAAAAGAAGGTGAAATAAACGAGATGGAGGAGAATTTTGACACCATTAAGAAACTATAAAAGGAGAGAAATGGAAGCAAAACAACAGGAGCAGAGATGCTGACCTCGGTTTGAGGATCTTATTGACGGCTAATAAAAGCCTTCAGGTTTGTGAGTGGCAGGAATGGAGCGTGAGATTGTCGAGGAGTAAATAAAGCGGCTCCCAGGRGTCTGCTGAGCTCCTGAGGTCTTGTTTTGTCTGGATTAATGACATTTCAGAAGGAAAAGGTGCGGCAGATTTTTAGCTCTTATCTCGATCGGGTGACATTTACAACAAGGTAATCGTGTCTGGAGCTCTCTTGTAATGTCGGCTTCAGAAGTGATTCTTGTTTTTGTTTCAGGAGCTCTGAAACGGGGACTGCTCTGAGCGAGATGAGAAGAAAAATAAACTGTCAGGTTGTAAAAAATGACACGTGAAGCACAAAGCACTGCTATTTCTTGTTTATACTAAAAAAAACAATGTAAAGACTGAATATTACTTAGGTAAATCCAACTCATCTGTTTGTTGAGTGCACCTTACGTTATTTAAGCTCACCTCCTGCTGAGAAATGAAAAGAGTTGGAGCTGTTTTGGTCAAACCATAAAAATAACGTGTAATCTCCTGCCATACAGACATTTAACGCTCAGATTACATTGTGAATAACTCTTCTCAATATCCGTATTTAAGTTACATCAATTTTTACGTTTGCTAATAGAAATAAGCTGTGGTTGCCAATCTTTTTAAATAACTTTAGATGAACTTCTGCTCTTTTTTAATTTAAATTGAATTCTCTGCTTTCATTTCCCTCTGAGGGCTGATTTGCATGTCGACAYGCTCATAATGAACGTCTTTAAGAGCTGCGAGGCCTCGCTGACATTTTAGCTGTGTGTGAATGTTCGAACAGGCTTGATTAGCTTATTCCTTTAAGTACATTTAAAGATGCTGTTTGTCAGCAGCCAGTACACGGATCATTGTGATTCTTCCTGTTGGGGGGGGGTTGGATTACACCCTGCGTGTGTGGCGTGTTGATTCATACATTTATTCTGGGTGATAACAGTGGCAATCTCATTAGGGCACTACTCATAATCTCATTTTTCAGTGATGTGGGTGTTTTCTGCTGCTGATGCTCGGTGAGCAGCGGTGCAGGCAGGGAGGAGAAAATCTGAGAAGTGGAGACGAGTGACACCGCTGCCAGATTTTTTTTTTTATATAGACATGTCTTTGATGGGAGGTTGTTTATTATCCAGTCTCTGCTTTTTTTTTTCTGCTTCGAACAGAATTTTATAGCAGTAAACTTTGTGGGCTGATACATTGTTAACAAAAACTTCTCTGCAGTAGATTCGATGCAGTTATCCCACCCAAATAATTTCTGTGTGAAAATCCAGTCAGATTGAATGAAAGCTCTAACAAGCTGTTTGATATTCATGACAGACTCTGCACAGTCCTCCTCTACGTCTGTTTTCAGTCTCCACAGGAAGCTGCGGGGGTCAATAATGTCGACTGATCGTCAGGCCCTCTCCCCCCTCACGTCGTCTTCTCTCTCTCAGGGATCTTCATGAGCACGTGCAACGTGGACGTTCGCTGGTTTCCTTTCGACATCCAGAAATGCGAGCTGAAGTTCGGCTCCTGGACGTACGACGGCTGGCTGCTGGACCTCCAGATGACCGACGCTGACATCTCAGGATACATGCCCAACGGAGAGTGGGATCTGATCGGTTAGTCTGGAGGAACATCTGCTTTAGCTTAAGGTCGAATCGTAACGTGACAGCTGTTTCGTGTGTTTTGTCGCAGGTGTTCCTGGTACAAGAAACGAGGTCTTCTATGATTGCTGTAAGGAGCCTTACCCAGATGTGACTTTTGTTATAACAATCCGTAGGCGGACCCTCTACTACGCCCTGAACCTGCTCATCCCCTGCGTGCTGCTGTCATCCATGACTCTACTCATCTTCGTGCTGCCTGCTGACTCCGGAGAGAAGATCTCACTGGGTGAGTGGGAACAGATGGACAGCAGCGTGAGCTTGTTCTATCTGATGCTAAATTTTAGGTCCGATTTGCCCATTAGGGTCAGAAAAGTGTCAGAGTTTTAATCCATGTTCTTCATTTGAAACATTCATTGCACTTTACTTACAGTCTTAAAGTACTTTTTATCTTGTTTTGAGATTTATATACAAAGCAAGAGCAGAGTGTATTAGAACATGTGTCAAACTGAAGGCCCAGGGGCCAAATCTGGCCCTCTCAGGGTTCCTACAGTTTAAAGAAAGTTAAATTTAATACTTTTTAAGACTTTTTAATGCCAAGTGAAATTAAATTTAAGCCCAATTTCATAATAAACACAAATGACAAGAAAAATACTGGCAGAAACTCATGAATAAAAGTAGTTTTGAAGTATTCAAATATTGCTAATAAACCAATTTTTTATCCATATCTAATTATAACAGAAACATTCTTAGCAGTCAGTTTTAAACTTAATGTAATTTCAGGAAAAATTTGTAGTTTTAGGACCCACAGGAGGGTTTTAACCCCAATTTGCTGTAGATGAAACCTTAAAGTGGCTGTGACATCAATTTTTTGTAAGAAAAGTGAATGCATTTTTGGAAAGACAACATTAACATATTACAAAACGAATTTCACACTGCTCAGATGAACAATTGAGATTTTTGCATGTGAAYTCACAGGAAGTGARGTCAAAGTGAAATGTCTGCARGTGATTATTTAAAAAACAATTTAATATTTGAGATGAGTTACAGTTATCCTATTTACAACGTGTTAACGTTTTTAAGACTTCTGAAAGATTGATTTAAGACATTTTAAGGTTAATTAAGGCCTTATATTTGGATTGATGAATTCAATGCCTTTTAAGACTTATTAAGGATCTGCAGGATCTCATTAACATTTTAWCCAGCCCCAAAAATAATACTTTAAATGTAAAATAGTTTTATGGGTCATCTTCTTGAACTGGACTTAGAGCAGTCTTCTCATGACAGCTGACCAACTTTCAAACCAAGAAAATTAAGTTAGAATTTTTCTGTAATTTTTGATTTTGGTGTGAAATGAACAGAAAGTGGACTTTAATGATCTTGTTCTGTATTATTATTTTTATTTTAAAGTCAAATAATTGCATTTTTGCATTGCATTGTTTTTGGTGTGTTTTTGACCTGATTTGCAGCGATAAGATATAATAAATGAAAGAAAGAAAGTAAGGTTTAAGAAATAAATGCTAATAATGAGTCTTTCAAACTTTATTCTTTTTACGTTATCTGTTAGGTCATGTGTGTTCTAAATGCTACATAATTCATACTATGGAAAAGGTCATTTATATTTCTATAAGAATAATTAGTTTTAACATTTGTCCAATAAAAGATGACAGAAATTGGTCCTTTGGCTTGGGCCAAGTTTTAAATTACGGCACCTTTGTGCAACTGAGTTTGACCCCCTGTGTTCYATTATTAATCTTGTTAGCCTGGAAATTTTCCCTATTTCAAAAAGTCTTACCAAGTGCAGTTGTCTAGATTATTTCACTTAATTTGAGATCATTTTAAACTTATTTTTAGATGGCTAATTTTTGTAGTTTGACTAAAAGGATACAGGGACATTTGGACATTTTACAACAACCTTGTGTTGATGGTATGTTTTGTTGATGTTTCTGTGTAATTGTGTTGTATAACACTCAGATTATATTTCAGTGGTTAATCAGTGCAGAAATAAGGAGTGTTTTTTCTCCCTGATAGCTCCAAGTCTAACATACTGAACGATCTTGCACAAAGTTTCTGACCCAGAAAAAGAAGGGTACCAAACAAAACATCAAACAGAAAAAGATAAATTTATGCAGTACAGGTTTTTGACTTCTTTCCACAAAAAAAATCAAGCACGTAAGCAAGGTCCCATAAACATGAAATGTCTGACTTCAGGGCTTTCATACGGAAGGTTTCTGAATATAGACGAGCTAAAAGTGGACCACTGCAGAACCAGAGTACACGAACGACACAGGAGATTATCAGGAGGCACAAAGAGGCGAAGTGGGGATGGGGGAGTGGGGGCAGAGAGAGGAGAGGGATTACCGGATAACTAAATGGGCACATGAGGAAATCGTGGTGGAGGAGAAGAAGAGCAATGGGTGCAGGAGGATGGCAAGAAGATGGGTGTGGATTTACGAAAAGATGAGCGTAGATGGCAGAGAAAGAGAAGACAGAAGGAAAAAGGAAGACAACCAAATGACACCATAATAGATGCGAAGTTCATTTTAAAATCAGTCTCACCCTGGTTAAAAATCAATGACGCTCGTGTCAACGGAACAATAAACACTTCAGACTCTTTTATCTCTGCTTTGAAGAGCTGAAACAACGAGTAACCTAACACAAGAGTATCTGTTCTGTTCCGAACACAAATTAATTGTTTCGGTCATTAAGGACCAAAAACATCAAACGCTGCCCCCAGCCTCTCCAATGTAAGAATTTATTTTGCTCTGCTGCCTGATTGCTGCTAATTAACTTTTTTCTTTATTTTTTTTTACCAGACATAAAAAGATACTAAGAAAATGTCATCTCAGGTCCTGCGAAATGAAAACTGACATTTTGAACTGAAAGTTTCAAGAAATCAGAGTAAAAGAGCCACTAAACATTTCATTATCTTTGTAGCACTCCATCCACTCATGACTACACTCTGTAATTTAGATAGATAATAATTATGATTTTGTTTAAAAATCATGTTTGACTCATCTCTGAGTGGGAGTTAAGCCTTAATAGCGTTGTCAAAGCATGTTCTCACTCTCTGTAAAGGCTGCCTRATGCAGCTTTTTACTAAATGTGTGGGGGAGAGGGAAGCCTTACATTTGAGGTCAATTAACCTATTGATGTAATTAAGGCTGGTGAATTGATTACATAGAAGAGAGCTTACACACTGCCTTCCAAGAAAATACTCTGCTGTCATTTCCACTTGATGGAGGAGACACCAGGACAAAATGGTTAAGCTTAAAAAAAAGGGAAACCTAAAGAYGGACTTTTAATCTACCTAACATCATCAAGCCTAACATATTTTATCTCCAGATCAGGAGTTTAATTGAATGTTCAAGCTGAGGGCAGTTATGCCAGCAAAGCACTTGTTAAATTCTGCTTAAGCGAAGACGTGTTTCACCGCTGGAGTGTATGTGAGGTGTGTTTTTTATTTTTAACTATCAGAGCCTGAGCAGTTTAAGGCGAGGTTGTTAGCCACGTGCGAGAGCCTTTAGGCCGGAGTGGTACAAAACAACCCGAGGTAATTCAGCATTTGAGCATTAGCTGGTCATTTCCATAAATCGAACCCGATCTCATCATGAGCTTGACCATTTATCAAAAACCCACCGGCGGAGTTCCTCACAAAGAGGCAAAAAAACGACTCCAGGGAGGAGACTAAACCACGTTATCGATCGCTTAACAAAATGTAGCTTAAGCATTAGGAACTGTGTGTCTGTCCATCTGCCTGCAGGTATCACTGTGCTGCTGTCGCTCACTGTTTTCATGCTGCTGGTGGCAGAGATCATGCCCGCCACGTCTGACTCCGTCCCTCTCATAGGTATGTAAAACCAGTTCTTATACCAATCACTAAATAAACTCATATTTSTGATTAAATGTTCTGTTGCAAGAACATTTAATGATGATCAACACAAAMGTATTTAAACTTRCCATWTCTGTAAAATAAGAACAAGGTTTCGCTTKAAGGGATCCCTGATTAGTTGTAACATTAGACTTTATTTGATYAACATTTATTTTAACTGTAAAATAAAGACTGTAAAAATACTGTAGGCTGTTTCGTTTAGTAATTTTTAAAAAATATATTTTAACATGGACGGAGCCATTTTATTTACACGCAAAGCATTCTGGGTAAATGATGACATGCATAGGTCCTCGGTGTGAGCYAGCTATATCCACCCTGAAGGTTAATCTTGGACAATATCTGATGATCGACTCTTTTAAAGGAAACCAGAGAGCGTTGACAGAGAGGAGAAGGTAGAAATGACTCAGCCTGGAACTGAAAATATGGATGGAGGACAACAGAGCTGCTTCATGGAAGAAGAACCTCAGCTTAGCCTGTTAGCCTTTGTGCTAGCGCCGACGCTATATAGCCTTATATATTTTAGCTCAGGGCTAGTGTGACAAACAAGCTAAACTGAGGTCCTCCATCTATATTTTCAGTGGCAGGCTGAGTCATTWTTGTGTTCCCCTCTCTGTTGTGCTTTGTTTTCTCGCATTCCACKGGGATTACAGATGGAAATTAGGTTGAAACCTATAATCTGGTTCAGTGCATCTCTACTCAATTAAATGTTTTTCTACTTGGTCCCAGTGAAATAGTCAACAACAACAACAAAAATTAAATAAGGCTTTAATTTGGACTTAAAAAAACAAGACCTAAACATAATAAAGTAGCTCAGGGACTGTGCTGGACAAAAAAAATATTAAAGTAAGCATTATTAATCAAGTGATATCCACAAATAAAAAGATGTTAATGTATCTCACAGAGGTTTCTGAACATCAGTCCAGCTCTGCTGTCTGCAGTGATGCACAGCCCAGATTTAACTATCTGCACAAAACATCCCTCCTTCTGTCCCACTGCAAGACCCAACGTGCAGAAATGATCTACAATCGTACACACGCTCTCTCCCAAATAATAAAAAAGAACTGTAAAAAATAAATTTATACAAGCCACCTGCTTACTCTAAAATTTTAGTGTCTAAATTTATTGTGGCCACGTTGCTAAAAATGATGTTTACAGAGCTCACCCTGCAGACGGAGGCAGATGCAAATCTTTGCCTGTAGACACACGGTGATTAAAAGCCGGAAAAAAGCAGTCATAAGCATTAAAGTGCTGCTTTCAGCATGTTTTTTTCATTTCAAGACAAACGGCCTTCACCTTAATTTGTTTGATGATGTTTTTGCCAACATGTCGCAGTATAAAATGTCATCATCAAACCTTAGTTTGGACATGTGTTTAGGTAAATACAAATTTTTCTTAKTAATCTTCCTTGAAGATTTCCTCACTGATCTTACAGCACTTCAAGCCAAAAGAAAGTAATTTATCTCAGAAGTTACAAACATAACGTTGCAGATTTTTTCCAGTTTTATTCCTCATAGGTAGATCTTTATGGGGTGCAAAACAAAATAAAAAAATATATCTCACAGATTTGCATTAAGGCCCTGTCATAATAATATTTRAGACAACTTATGTCAACTTATGATAATTTTAAAGACATCTAAGTTAAAGATGGAATTTAAAAAGTCAACAGGAATCCTCTTTTAGGTGTGTAAAAACTGTAATGCTAAAAATTGATCATATATAAATTTTATTAGTTATTTAGACCTTAAAAAATCACAAATTGGCATAAGTTGTCTAAAAAGTTTTAGTGTGACAGGGCCTTTACTTAGCACACTTTGTAAAACCCTAGTTAAAAAAAATCCACTGACATTTTATTATTATTTAGCTCACTGTTTTACATTTAGCTACTTTTTACTAAATGTTTAATTTAAATGTTAAATCCTAAATCTAAATTTGTAAATCTAAATGTAAAAGTTAAATCTTAGATATTGCATCTTAATGATAAAGTTTACATTTCAGAATGGAACGCAGCTTTTGTGTTGGTGTGCAGCTTTTGTTGTGATGAAATTATCCTGCGACAAAAACAACCACTAACATCGCTAACTCAGCTAACCCCGCTAACGCTTTACATCAAAACATCAAACCTGCGGTTGCGGCCAGTGTACGAGCTGCACTTCAAACTGCTGGACCACAGGRACAGTGTGTTCAACGAGCACCTTTTSAATTTAAAWTTTAAATGCCACCGTCAGCCGTGTTAGCAGAGTTAACAGCATTAGCTTTTGTCACAGAATGATGACATCACAACTGCAAAGGCTGCATTCCATGCCGAAATTCATAAATGCAAGCTTGATCATTTATCTGCAACATTCGATGTTTAACTTTCACTTGTATTTACACATAACTGTATTTTATTTAACATTTAAATTGACCATTTAGCAAAAACTAGCAAACCAAAAGAGCAGTGAGCTACATAATAAAATGTTAGAAGTAGGATTTTACACTCAGAAAATGTATTATGACATTTTCTAACGTTTTATTTTACACTGGGCACCCTATAGAACCTTGCCTGCTTTGAATCCATTGTGTTTAGTTTAATGACATTTAACCCCACTTCAACTCCTCCTCAGGTCAGTACTTTGCCAGTATAATGATCATCGTTGGGATGTCAGTCATCGCTACAGTGGTGGTTTTACAGTATCATCATCACGATCCAAATGGAGGCAACATGCCGAAATGGGTGAGGCTGAGCTCTTTCTGCTTTCAGACTCATTCAGGGACATACATCACGCTTTCTTCCTGATTTGGGTGTGATGTACTTCTTTTGTCAGCCTTTATTCCGGCTTTAGCAACAGTCTCCTGCTCGGCAACACTTCCTTCGTTTGTTAGCGTCGTAAGCCTCACTGCCAGTTTCTCTTTTTGTTCACCGGTTTCCTTGGCTGTGACTCATGCAGCAGTGTCAGTCTGCCTCGGTGTGTTCATCAAATGCCTCGCCGCAGACTACAGCAGGAGCGCATTTCAAAGCACTCCYGAGAAACGTGGGCGGATTCACTTCGACTCCTTCCCTATTTCTAGTTTTCTTCTGTTTAGAACTGAGAAAATGTATCACCACTATACAAAAGTTTCTGCTTTGTTATGAGCTTATAAAAAAAAAACCCAAATTGACAGAGTTCTCGATAAGTGATGAATGAAGGAGTTGGCTGGCTGCATGAGCATGCAAACGCTGTGTTTATTGACACATTGCAAGGACGTTCTGTTGATGAATTGCCTGTTCAAACAATTCAATGGCCAATTAACAAGCTAATTGATGAGGTTCAGATTAGGGCATCGAGCGAGCACAGTTCATAATTAGACTTTGCACAAAAACAACATCAGCAGTGGCAGCAACAGGAACCGCTACATGACTTGTAAACTTAGTCTGCAGAGACTAATTGAGCAGTAATCTGGACATTAGCCCTCATTAGATGCCAGACACCCATCTGGATGCTGTCGGGACAGTTTGTCCTTTTAGAGGGCTTTCTGGGTGGGTTGAGTGAAGGAAAAGAGTGAAGCAGAAGTTTTAAATGTGAACTAATTTGCATTATTTTTTTTTTATCTAAGCCCGTGACGGTGGTGAAACTGTAATCACACAGTTCATCTCAGTAAGCCCACAGTTTGAATTTAAAGGCTGCGTTTTCAGTTTCCTCTCTGCGGGGATTCTAGCGAAACCAAAAGATGATCTCTGCCTGAGGCGCCTTKACTAGGCAGCGCTTGTGCAGTGGTTTCAAATTTAGATGTTTGCAGAAGCAATATAAAAAACCCACAAAGTTGTAAACAAAGYGCGTTTTTGTGCAGCTCTCTGTGGGCCAAGATGTAATGCTTTCCTCACACAGGATTTTCCATCGCCCTATCTGAGTGCATCTCTTTCTTCCTGGCTGTAGGTGCAGCTCGTTCTGCTACAGTGGGTCGCATGGTTCTTGCGGATGAAGCGGCCGGGGGAGAACGACGACCCGGAGCGGCCCCCCTGCGCTCCCAACCTGCGCCGCTGTTCCTCGGGCTCGCAGAGCGGGAGCATCCCCAACCCTCCGGACGCCACCCTCCACCCGCTGCACCCGCAGAACCTGACACCCCTCCAGACGGGCCCTCTTCACGCGGGGCACCCTCACCTGCACACCCAGTCCAGCGCCAACAACAACGGGAACCTCCTCTACATGGGCTTCCAGAGCATCGAGGACTCTTCGGTGCTCTCAGAACCCATCCAGAGGAATAATATCTCCACAGGACTGCCACGGGTGGCAGGAAGTCCGCCTCCCCACCTGCCYTCCCAGTTTTGCAGCTCCCCACCACCTCAGGACACCGTCGGGTGTCCCAGCACTGTCTCCAGTGGTGGGGGCTTCGGAGGTGGACCCGGAGGACTAGGAGGGGGCTCAACTTCGGGGATGGGAGACCCCCAGCTGCAGGCGATCCTGGAGGAGGTGCGTTACATGGCGGATCGGTTCCGAGAGCAGGATGAGACTGAGAGCATGGCTGACCAGTGGAAGTTTGCCGGCGCCGTGATCGACCGCCTGTGTCTGGTGGCGTTTAGTGTTTTTAACATCATTTGCACCATCTCCATCCTCATGTCTGCTCCAAACTTTGTGGAGGCGATTTCCAAGGACTTTGTTTAAAAGCAAAAACAAAAACAAAAAAAAATTAAAAAGAAGAAAAAAAAGAGAAGAAACATGTAGGAACGACTGAAGYAAATTGAAATGAAATGTAGAACGGAGTGGGCCCTGATCCAAGGAAACACCATTTCCAGCTCTGTGATTTGTGATTGCAAGGATGTGGGAAACGGAAAAGCAACTAATGCTTTTCTGTTTCTGAAACATTCTGTTTTGTAAACTAAAAAAAAGAGAGAAGAAAACAGATGATGAAGGGAATACAGAGCGAAGTTTGAATTAAATCAGAGTCCGCAGGGTGGTTTATCAGATTCTTGACAAGGTAAAATGGTTTTTTTGTGGCCAATTCAAAGACTTTTATTCAAAATTAAAGAGAAATACGAGTCAGACGTGAAAAATTTAGTCGAGTGAAGCTTGAGGTACGAAGGATCCTGAATCAGGGCCGACTGAAAGGAGGAAGGAGACAGACAGATGAGCAGAGACAGATAAAGGAGACAGATATGTGACTGTTTTATTGTCTCGAGGAGGGAAGGCAGCCCCTTTACTCCCACATGTGGAGAAAATACTGCATCATTTAAAGCGATGCAAAGACTGGCTGGGAGAGGCTTTTACAAGGGCACAAAACAAAGAGCCGCCGTGAAGGACCGACACTCCATCCCCCCTGCGACACTGGCAGATTTAGAGTTTGGAAGTGGCTTGATGCTCGGATGCACAAAAAAAAAAAAAAAAAAAAAAAGTTGACCGAAGATCAAGAGCGCCACGTCGCACAGGAACAGAAGAGGATCTCATCTATTATTTAATCACATTCATCTTATGACCGTCAAATTGAAAGACCTTGGATAATCTTTAAGACTAATAAGCTTTTCGAAGATCAACCCCCTCTCTGCTTGGGAGTCACTTTCAGATTTCCAAGGCCTTATCTCTCTACGAGACGATTGGCAATCAGCAGAGATGAGAAGCTCCTCAGCAGCTTGCACTGCGTGRGGCACTTCTCCTGGCTCGGAAACCGAATTAACCGGTCATCAACAGTGCAGCTGCAACGCAGTGGAGTCCAATGAAAATTCATGGGCCAGTTACCTAACTGCATCTGGCGGGTCATAATGGACCAAGGAAACTCATTGGACTTCGTATTAAAGGTTTAATAACTCAGACGGGAGGTCAGGGCTTTAAAAGGACACGAGAGGCAGCAAGAGGGGACGAGATCAATCAAAATTTGATATAGAGGAGCGGCGTCGCCAATAAATTTCCGTCAAATCCCTTGACTGGTTTACGGCTTAGTGAACGAGCTTTAAAAAAGGAGAGGTTACGTTTTATTTTGAAAATTACACTCATGAAACTTGACTCAGGCTGTCATGGAAACAAGTTGAGGGATCTAATTTACACTAAAACCTTTAAGATCATATAAAAAAACAGGGGAAAAAAATGAGTTTCCTAAACTTATTGAGAAAATGTTAAACTGCCACAATGTGACTCGTGTTTCTGCTTATAGTTTGAACTCAAGTTTATTTTAGGTTAGCTTCATTTAGTTAGTTTATAATCAACCTAGGTGTGGGGTTTGCAACCTTTAATCAAAGGGGATGCTTCTGTTTCTTGGCTCACTGGAAAAATGTGTCCTGAGCTGCAAAACGTGCATCAACTGTGATTATCAACTGGTGGTCTGCGGGCCGCTTTGGGTTTGTTGAAGGGAGGCCTTTACGGCCCGTGGGGGCGACATTATAAAACTAATAATATATTGCAATTTTTAARGTTTATTGTTGTTTTCATAGCTTACAACAAAATAAAAGACCGRATTCACATTTAATTGAATAAAAATTTAACTATGCAAATGTGTTTTTTTCTAATCCTTACTATTATCTACTCTGGTATTAAAGGTCTTTAAAGTTAAATGATAGATTTGAAAGAAATATCAAATTTTAAGGCTGGAAGTTGGATTACTAAGTGGTCATAATTTAGTGGTGATCATGTATTTGCAAACAAATTGACAGGACAACTGTTAAAACTAGCCTTTTTCTAAAAAGGGACTAAAGAGCCACATGTGGCCCCAAAGCCACAGGTTGCAGACCCCTGACCTAGATGCTTTTTTACCAAGKGGTGCATCTAACTACATCTTGTCATTAAGCCAAACAGATAATTCTAATTTTGAAAGTGGAATCTGTGGATAAATGACACTTTACAGAAATGTTTCTACAACGCAAACAGCTGGACTTTAAAAYAAATGCAAAAACTGCGACACAAAAGTCCAAAATCTAAACTTACAAATTGTGACGGAGGTAATGAGGCTGTGAGAAAGAGAATGAGTCAATCAAAAGAAATCGCTAGAAGCAACAGGAATTCTCCCTCTTAGATAACACTTTACTGAGCTGATCTTTGATCTGCTCAGATCCAGCTGRGGTGCTCGATGTGCTAAAAAGGAAGACTCTAAAACCCAGCTTGTGCGCATTTAAATATGAAGAAGACCCACAAGAGATGAGACATTTCTACCATCAGATGTTGAGAACGCTTGAAGAAAAATATTAGATTTTCACGCTTTGAGAAAACCGTTATCAAAGAAAAAAAAAAACACAAAAATGGCAGCACCAGCCACGATCAGAGGCTCGATTCAGGSCAGAAAAGAAGCAGACAGGCGTGAGAACAGCATGACCCGACACAACATCACTTCTTTTTTTCCATGACAACAGATCTTATTGTTGCTGGTTCTCAGCAGCTGGTATTAAATATAAATTCATGACAGGGGGTTTTTCTTTCCTCTTTTGCACAAACACTATAAAATCGAAGTAAGAATAATAGGGRAGATTTTGTAGCAAAAAAATACATGGTGGAAAATAATGATTATAAACCAGTGTTTCACAAACACAGACCTCCACTACCTAAATACATCCGAACAAGAAGCACTGAAAATATTCACTGCGAGCTCAGTCACTTCTCTCCTACAGTTTCTTTTAGGTTTTCCACACCATCATGGCAACAAGGTCAGATTAAAAGAAGCCAAATGTAGTAAAAAAAGTAAAAACGGCTCCATTGTTGTGGTTTCTAGCGCACAAAATGACAGTGGGAATGCGTGACATAAATCACTGTCATTGAATCCATAAAGCTCCAGGTTAAGTCCACATAAACACCAAACATGGAGCTTATTAAGCAATTCACTCGGAAAGCTTTGGGTTAAGTTTCAGTTTTTCTCACCAGAAATACCATTAGGACGTGGATTTGATATTTAGAAAATTTGTTTTGCTAAATATCTGTGTTCTTCTGGACAGGACTTTACAGAACAATGTTTTAGCTGCTCTTTTCTGAAAAGCTTTTCTTTGTATAGCGTTTATCGAAAAATACTTTTAAAGTGATTCTTATTAGACAAATTACTTAAAAACAACTCTTTACAGTCATATCAGCATAATTACTCTGAGTTAAACTTCTAAAAGTACCACACTGTGAAGTTTTACTGGTAGTTTTATTATTTTTTAGCATTGTGTTTTGTTGCTGTTCTTGTTTGAATGAAACTGGATTAGTTTGAATTAATTATGCTGATATTTTTTATCTCACTTATGCATCATTGTTCTGATACTTTTATTGTATTTAGGTGGCTCCTTATAACTATACTTCCTCATCCATGCGTCACAGTTAATTCAATAGTTATCAAGGCAAAAAACATTTTTGTCTTTTTAACGTCGTATTTTGAAGTTAGCATTTTGAAGCGTCTTTGCTCACTCAGTTTGTTCTGCACTTTCATTCAACTGCTGCAGTCTTTTTTAAACTTTTCTTTTAAGTGAAAACTTAAACAGAGTAAATAATTTAGCTGCAGCTGGTTTTCTCATACGCYTATTCACTTATCCGAATTAGGTTTTTTTCTTTCTGCCTTTTTTTAATCTAGTCTTTCAAAAGCTTAATTTTTTTTTACCGACAAAGCATTACAGAGGCTGCAAAATGATGAATAAATTGGTAAAATATTCAATTTCAGGACAAAAGGTGTAATAGCTCCTCTTGGTTCCCAMAGCAAATTGCAGCCGTTTCACAATGGAAGTGAATAAATTGTACAATGAGCTGGTTTAACTCGCTCATTTCTCAAATGTTGGAAAAATGCACTGAATACCTTTCTGCTGAGGAAGGACTGGACAAAAAACTAACTGGTTAACAAATGTTTTCACATCAAAATCTTTAGATTGTACTCAGCAATAAGGGTTGGGACTAAAAATACACAYAAATAATATAGGAAAACAACTTGCTCATTTTTAGAATAAGATTTTTAAAGAGRTGAAGGTTTTAATATTAATTTCCTGTCAGATCATTGTTTTAACAAACTACTATTTCAGCCCAGTTATTTTAATGTTTTTATGAGACTGAACTTAAACTTGTTCTATTCGCAAATATCTGAAATCACTTCAAACTGTAAGCAGAGGCATTAAGTCTGATCTGTACTGGCGTGTGGTCTGTGCCAGCAAATCCCACTGAGAGTCCAGATTTTCATTTCATTAGAAAAATTAAACCTTGCACTAAAACAGGCGGGCACTTTCAGTAAACATTCGACTGCGTTCCGTTGCAGATTGAATCACATTTGATGCTTTGGAGAGGTTTTATTTTTTCTTCTTCTGTTTTTTTTTTTTTACGGCGGCAGGATGATGGATATGAAACCGATCGTGAATAAAACGACGGCATTCATCGTAACGGGGAAAACATGACCAGTGCAACGTGTGGCTTATTAATCTGTTTCTAATCATTTTATGACACAGAGGAAAATAAATCTCAGGCTTTGGCTACACAAGATGCAATTTCTTTTCCCTCGGGACAGATTTGCTGTTTGGTCTTGGTGACGAGAACGACGCTGGACAATTCTACTCTTATTTATTTTAGAAAACCTTTAAGATTTTGTCTTATAAAGGCCACAAATGTTTACTACATTCCTGGTGAATGCTGTCAGTCTCTTCTGTTAAGAGTTTTTTCTCTTTGTCTCTTTATCTGCTGTCTTTCTGTCTCTCCTTCTTTCAAGTCAACTCTAGAAGCAGGTAAAAAGTCAGCTTCCTGCCAGCAGATTTGCAAAAGGCTATTCTCCTTTGAGCACATGCCACATCTGTACAGAGCACCTCCCTTTGAAAAAAATAATAAAAGATTCTCCTTTTTTTCTACTGCTTCTGCTTTTCTCTTCTTCCTACCTGTCCCGCCACCCAAAAATGAAAAAGGGGGAAAAGTGAACCGCGAGGGGGAATAAGAGGAGATAAAGTGCTGATGTGCCGGTGGGAGCTGGACGGAGCCAGGAAGGAAGGAGGTTGGAAGGTGGGCGCTGGGAAAAGAGGAAGAGGAAGGGAGGGTTTAATGGAGGAAAGAGTGGCATCACGGGCAGTTCATCGGATTTACGAGGGACGGTGGCGGGAGAGACGGGTGCTTAGACGAGTATAACTCAGTCACGGGCATCAAATTAAAGGTCAGCGCACTAGATCACGCCACGAGGAGGGGAAAATATATCCTAAAAGGATAAACAAATCGGAAAACTATCGTCATGCGACTGTAGGAGAGCTGCAGTTTCTGGCTGGCCTTCACTGTGTCACTCAGTCAGTGTGTCAGGATGAGTAAAGAGTCATCGGCGTATTTATAGTAGCCTGCCGGTCCTTATTCAGCCCAGGCAAGGCTCCCTGCCTGATGAGCTAAGTCGACGGTGGAAAAATGTGCAGCGCCAGCAATCTGGCAGCGCTTAGATTTACTGTGTTCACTCAGATGGAAGAAAAGAAGAGAGAGTCAGGAGGCTGTGTGTGTCCGTAGGGGAGATGAGCCCCTCGGTTCGCATGTATGAGCGGACTCAATCAGTTCTCCTTTCTTCCTCTCCATCCTTATTTATTAAGCCAGCGGCAGCGCTCACCTGAAGGCTTCTCTAAAGAAGTTACCAAATGGCTAATTCAATGCTGGCGTCAGGATGTAATCACTGTTCAGTTTGTAAATAAATAAAATGATATACTTCACATGCTAAATCAATCTGCAGCATTACATGCAAAGCAGCATGTAGCAGCCACCCACGTGTGCACACCTGTTCACTCCAAAAGTCCCAGTGCTGCTGCACGCTCGCATCCCAACAATCTTGCGGCTGAAGCCGATCAATGCCTTTTAATTACCAAAGGCCCAAAGCGCTGGTCGATAGAGCTGACGAGAAGCAGAGAGAGAGAGAGAGAGAGAGAGAGAGAGAGAGAGGGAGGTGGAGATTCTCCGGACGTTGATTGATGCTCACTCCTCCCAGCGAGCCTACCTGCAGATGTGTCGTTAGGCCTGATTAATCCTGCCGGGCTGTATTCGCTCATTTTACAGACTGTCGTTTAACCGGCTCTGGCCGCTGTGGTCACAAGGTTAAGTGGAAACGAGGTGTCTGCACCGAGGGACAAAAGCCCCCACTACGACCAATAAGTCAATAGTGACTGATTACAGACTACAACATTTAGTGAAAGTCTGGTTCTGAGCAGACTGAGGTTTGGCTTCTTTTATGCCGATGCAAACTTCCACTTCTTTCAACCCATTTACTCTGGAATCCTCAAGTATCTGTAAAAGTGGGGAGTTATTTCAGCTCAAGGTCATATTTCATTGTTCTGACTTGTACTCGACTTCTCATTCATTTTTAAAAGTGTACTCCAGCTATACATTTCTGATAAACTAAATTTAAAAGGGACGGAAAGCAGCAGAGGCTGAAACGGTTTGAATCGAAGCTGACAGCATCTTTCATAAGATAGTACAGTTATTAAAACCTGGATTATGAAGAGTTTTTGTTCTCACAAAGCCGCATCAAAACAACGAAAAACCATGACCCTGCCTGCGCCCGGAAATAAAACACTCCAAAATAATCAACATTTCTCCATGGTTCATTGTTTATTTTTTAGATCACCTTCCCTGACCTGCTTTAAAACTGACCAGAGTACAGTATCTCGTTAAGTTAGCATCAACAGAACCGGAGGTAGTTAATTACTGCACTAATTTTTACCAAATGACACCAAGACGTTAACTTTCCACTTCAGCTTTTCATTGTAAAAGTGTAGTTTTTCAGTGGCAAAGATTTATCTGAAGAGCAATAAACAGAAACTCGTTTTTTAACTCCATCCTGTAAGACTAAAAGGAATGCATAGCCAGATGCGGCGGCCATCTTGAATGGTGATGACTTCAAAAAGCAATAAGCTGCAGATACTTTATGAGAGTTTCAATGAAGGGGAAATATGCAAAATCCCTTTTTAACCATTAAATACATTTTGTTGTGTACTTAGAGTCTGCAGAAAAATGTATTAAACTGGAATGGGCCAGTCTGGAAGCTGGAGGAGGGCAGGGTCTAAAGCATCTCATTTGGATTTAAAGAGACAGCCTCAAAACAAATTGATGAAACACACCTCAAAAGAGGGGTGAAAGAGGGGCTTGTGGAGTTACAATAAGGAGGAATTCAGACCAAAGCGTTGTAGTTCCTCTTTATATAAAACTGAGTGATTTAAAAGTGAAAAAAAAAAAGGAAATCAAAAATAAAAAAATTGTATAGGTCTTCTGGACGGGTTCTTCTCTAATGAAACGTTTCGTCTCTCCTCCAAGAGACTTCTTCAGTCTGAGAGTTTCAGGCAAAATTCAGGCTTTTAAGCCCTGCCTCCGTGTGACTGATACTCACATCACATGGCTATTGTTGACACCTAATTAACACCTATTGTTAACAGGGGGTGGAGTGATACTGGCAATAGCAGCACTGTAGGAGGGGGACAACTGAAAAAGGAGGCCTCCACCTCTGTTTAATGATGGACGGTCTTTCTTCCCAAAAATGGCTTCTTTTACTCCTCTCTCAAACCAACGTTCCTCTCTATCAAGAATGAGAACATCCTCATCTCTGAAAGAGTGACCGCTGGCCTGTAAATGAGTGAAAACTGCAGAGTTCTGGCCATTAGATGTAGCTCGTCTGTGTTGGGACATTCTTTTGAACAGTGGTTGCTTTGTTTCCCCGATGTATAACTGGTCGCAGTCCTCCTGGCACTTAACAGCATATACAACATTGCTCTGTTTGGGCCGGGGCACCGGATCTTGATCTCTCTTGATAGGGAGGAACGTTGGTTTGAGAGAGGAGTAAAAGAAGCCATTTTTGTGAAGAAAGACCATCCATCATTAAACAGAGGTGGAGGCCTCCGTTTTCAGTTGTCCCCCTCCTACAGCGCTGCTATTGCCAGTATCACTCCACCCCCTGTTAACAATAGGTGTTAATTAGGTGTCAACGATAGCCATGTGATGTGAGCATCAGTCACAAGGAGGCAGGGCTTAAAAGCCTGAATTTTGCCTGAAACTCTCAGACTGAAGAAGTCTCTTGGAGGAGAGACGAAACGTTTCATTAGAGAAGAACCCGTCCAGAAGACCTACACAATTTTTTTTCTTTTTGATTTTTTACCTGGATTACTGAGATACATCAGGACAAGAAAAAAAGCATTTAAAAGCTTCATACAGTATGTCTCCTTTAAATCCATCTAGTGAGATATTTTGCCAACACTACAGAGAAACATATGCATGGACTTTGCAAAAAACCACCTCTCAACTTCGGTGTTGTATTTCTAGTATAAATGAACAAATGTGCATTGTGAAGGAGAAACCAAGGACAAGAAAATCACTGACTCTGTCGCGAGAGAATAAGTTCAAAACGAGGTGACATATTTACTTGTGATCTTCAGCTTTCATATTTCAATCCCTTGCTTTTCCATCTCCAGCTGTTCTTCACACTCTCCGTTCAAATACTGTCTCCAGCTTCACGCTGAGACATCATCTGAGTTATTTCTACACGCTTCAGAAGGTCAAAGACAACGTTAGCTGGCAGCAGGCAGGTCCCGATGTGACAAGAACCGCCATCCTGACGTGTAAAAATGGGAACGTACCGCTTTATACACTGCTGAGAGTGGAAGTATAAAGTGGCGTTAGCTGACACGTTCTGGGCTTTAATGTCTTGTGTCGGAGCTACCTGGTAAAAAGCAATGAGACTGGATAATCTTGCAGTTACTATAATGAATGTTTGAGAAACTTTGGGAGTGCTGCTGTGAGGTGAACTATATCAGCGGAGAGTTGTGATTTGATGCAACTCCAGGAATCTTGCTTACAAACAAACCTAACATTGCATCTGAATCTCATGACGCACCAGCGTAGCTTAGCAGCGTTTTATGTTTTAAACACTAACCGTGTTTTCCTGCATCGCTCTGGGAAAAAAAAGCTACAATTCAGAACGGGGGAGAATTAAACCACAACAACAAAAAAAAGAAGTCTTGATTTGGGACTCAGGAGGAAAATATACATGATTATGCGAGCTTTGGGGTTACATAATGTAATTTAAGATTCCGGAGTCAGCACTCTCTGAGAAGCATCCGCATGAGAAACAAAAAGAAGCTGTTGGCTTCGCTGAATGAACACACAAGAAATGTAAAAAAAAAAAAAAAGGACTGACAAATAATTGAGTCCAGCCAAAAAGGCTGCCAGAGGCAACTCAGAGAAAAGCCAAGGATGGCACGTTGGAGAGACTCCCACACACTTCCCGCTGAAGCCTCAAACTAAGTGGACGAAAAGTGGACTCGACACGTTTATTCCTCAGGTGTGACCACGAGATAAGCAGCTCTGAGGTCATTATTCCAACCTGACAGGGAAAATGAGTCGACTGTATGGAGGAGAGGCGTTCTGCTTGTAAGACAAGATTCACCTCCTCTACCTGCTCCACGCGTCACCCTTCAAGCTGCAGACCCGAGTCAGGCCTGACGTTTGCTGCCACAGCAACACAAAAACYGCTTATAAATCAGTCAGTTGTACTAATATTGAGCTAGAAATCGGGGTGGGAGTAGCAGAGAATCATCTGATCTATCAGGGTCTCACAATAGTTTGAAATGACAAGAACTCTGTCTCTGCTCGGCTTAAAGGGGCAATATTATATATTTATATTTAAATTCTATACCATAATAAAGTAACTGCCACCTTCAGATGTTATTAAAATGTTTATATGTTTAAATAGAAAATAAACTTGACTTCTCATCATATCTGTTTTTAAACGCCTTGAAATTGGCCTCTGTCTCTTTAAGAACCTCCTTCCGCTTCTGCCTCGCCCATTTCAGCACGGCCGGGTGGGTGTGTGTGCTCTGTGATGAGGAAGCTCAGCATGGAG